AAAGGAATCAAACCAACTTCCACAGGTTCGAGTTCATTCAGTTCGATGCCTGACAAGCGCGGTATTATCCTGTAAAATTATTTTAGATTGTAAATTTCTGAGAATTTTTTTAATGAAAAGCATAAGCTAAAGCTCAACAATACAATCATCAAAATGCATGACTTCAGAAAAAATAAATCATAAATAACGAAAATTCGATCATCACTAAAGAATATTCTGTAAGAAAATGATCGCACCATGTTCCTGTTACATTCTAAAGATACCAAAAGGCTTGTAAACACATTCTAGAATACTTCAAACATATTTAGATTTTATTTTAAATTTATTTAACTTTTTTAAAATTTATTGTTGGATTTGTGGTAAATGTTTACAAAATGTAAATTGATTGCTTTGCAAAATATTCCATCGAACATCGTTTGATAATCACATATAACATCACAACTTTACAAAAATGATTATATCGTAGCTAATCATTTTTTTTTCATATGCCTATCTATATTTATTCATTTTTTCAAAATTACTAATATCTGTTTATGGAAGAAATCGTTGTTTCAATGAATAGTATGATGTTGAATCCTGTTCTATTTTCATTATTGAAAATAGGAGAGACGATTAGCTTCAAAACTTTTTTTCTCACAATCTTCTTTCGTGATTTAAATTTTGTGTTCTAACTTATTTAACTTTATTTCAACTATTTTTTTTGTTGTTGACACAGTAAACTTTGCATACATGTGACGATACAAAATAAAAAAAATTTTTCTTGTAAAATTTAATTTAAACAGAAATATATACAATAAGGTGTGAGTTTTCGGTTCATCTACAAAGCCATACATTCTATTGTCTAGGAATTCGTTGTATTCTTCACTTTTTCTTCTGGAGAAGTGTTTCTTTTTTTTTGATTTTGGGACAATTATCAATTTAGTTTGCGTTTTGTTTCAACAAGCAAGTCGTTGCAAATCTTCTAGCCTAAGAAAATATTTTTCCACAGTTACAGTTTGTTGTCTGTCTCTTCTGAATAGATCAATCAATCTCATTCACATTTTTCTAGATAATAATTGTCATTGATATCTACTTTTAAGAATCATCAGGATCATAAACTCGATCATTCGATTTTATTGTAATATAAGATTACCTGATTTTCTCCAATATGTCATTTCTTGAACTCTTGTAAAGACATTCTTTCTCAGGCATTCGCCATCGACGAAATTCAGAAACTCTAAGATATTATCAGTTAAGTCTTCTAATCTTAAATAAATATATTTCTCCTTAATAATTGAAAATTCAGATAAAATTAGAATTGACTTGTATCACAAATATTCACTCTGTTCTTTAATTAACCTTAAGAAAATCTTATATTTTGTGTTTGAATATTTGGAATATAAATATTTCAAAAGTTACTCAAAAATAAAAGAAAACTTTGCAAGGTCACGATCTTTAAAACGATGATGCTGAAATCTTGCAGAACGCTGGTAGAAATAGTTAATAGTTATGTCATTGATTGTTTTAAGAACTATGCATTGAAAACAAAAACAAAAAAAACATGTCTGTTAACTCCTATTGAAGTATTCGCTAGTCAAAGAAACATTTGAATCATTAGCCTTAATAGTTATTTCCATACAATGTAGTATTTATACACAAATTTTTTGATTGCTAGTAAATTTATCAATAAAAATCTTGAACAAACTGTTCAAATTCTTCTGAAAAGTCATGATTTTTATAAATTTACTTATGCGCTCATATAAAAAATGTGTTTTTTCTTAACTACTGTTTCCTCGTACATTGAGATAACTCCAGTGAATGATAAAGTTAATTTCGTCAACTGTTGTCTTTTAAAGAAGACTCATGGTTCCACAGACTACGCATGTCTTTTTCTTTTCATATCGAATATAATTGTTGTTGCTCTTTTCAAGGAACTATTGTCTTTAGTCAATTACTTTTCAGTTAAAGAAAAGCATCAAATTTTGATAGCATTTGATATTAATATTTTCGAAGTAAATCATCAGTTAAGAAGAAAGTTAGGAGATTTACAAAACTTTCACTTTGATCTGATTATCTATAGATGACTGAATCAATTTGTTTGATCTGCCTCCTCTATTTCTTTTTTCATAGATCTTTTAAAGTTCTACAAAAGATATCTTTTTCTCTATTGCATTCATGTTATCAATTTTGAGTGAATAATTTCATCTTATATTTTTGAGAAAACTTGTTATTCATAACATCAGAATGTGTTTCACCTCTGCAAATGTTTTATTGGAGACGTATCATTTCAATGGAATAATATTCATTTATCTAGCATCTTCTATTGAATTTTAAAAAGAACACTAAGATAATTTTAATTAAAGCTGCAAAAATCGTCGAAAAATATATCCAAGCAAGTAGGATATGAGACAACAAAATTTCAAAACAGGATACTTTTCAAACATAAGATTGTCAATATAAATACCTTTAGGAATATAAAGAATGTTACAAAATTAAAATCATAATCATCTAATATGATGAATATTATTCCATTGAAACGATAAATTTTATATTAAACCTATTCAGATAAAAACACATAAAGCTGTTATGAAAAATATTCTTCCAATGAAATGTAAGATGAAATTAGTCATTGAAGATTGGTACAATAGGAAAATAACATTGGACTAGATTGATGCAGTCTACAAAATTATATATTTCAATCAATGAACAGTTTATAAATTCATTGTCTTCTTAGATTAACTTGTCATATATGTTTATCCACATCAAAATGGTAATGAGACAAATGCTTGTAAGGTTTCTTATATCAAACTATCAGCTGTACCTGAGAGTTTCTACATTGAAAAAACTGATTTTGGTGTGGGTGAGTTTGGATGAGGTCAGAAAGAAGAGATTCACCCACATCCCACAAAAAAGCTTGTCAAACTCGTGAGAATGTGCGTAGGGAACATCTGAAATTCATTTTTCTTTGACACCCGTGTGGAAGATGCAAGGACAAAAATAAATGGTAATTAACAGCTGGTAATTTCTTTATATAGTTATAAATGACTTAGTATTTTAGTGACCATTGATATCTCGCATCTTATATGCATATACACGTTAATTATCGTTTTGTATAAATTAACTTTATCCATGAAAGAGTCTCGAAGATTTACTATATATACAAAATAAAAAGAACAATAATGTTCTAATAAAGGAATATGCAATTGATATTCGTTATCAATCAATGTCCAACTTCATTTATTAATAAGAGATAAATTAGATTTTAAAAAATAACTATGAACATATATGAGGATTATGAAAATTCTGCAGTCAGGCGTCTTTTCTACTCCTGCTTAGTTTGAGTGGAGGTCTAGTTTAAATATGTTACTGTTATTGAACAATGAAATGTTATAATAAGTTTTAACTTTTAAAATATTAATATATAAGGATAAATTTGATATAATATAATTATTTATTGTAAGAATACTTAAAAATAGAATACATTTCAAGTTGTTTATTTTCGGTCAGTTATATGTGAAAAAGGAAATAGAACAAGATGATAAAGAGAAGAGGAGTTAAAATAGCGTTTGATGTCAAAATGTAACTGGAAATAAATTGATTATTAATAATAAAAAATATCTTTTGGTCAAATATTAGTGTTATTGTTTTCATGTAGGAGTAATTTTTGTATACATTCTAGTGTACAACTAGCAAAGAATCTTAATATAATTTAATATCAAACACAGAAGATCTTTTCATCTGATTTAACTTACGAAACAAAATTCAAAAAGTTTTGCTTTATTCATGTTGAAAACTTCTTATGATTCTTTCACAAAACAAGTCTAAGTACAAAGAAATAAAGAAATATTAGCAGTTTCATTTTATTATAATCATACAAAAAGTGTATAAAGAATGAGTATTTGAACTTTGCAGATCATGCAATTGTTTCTCATAAAGTTGATCATATTCATCTTCGCCATTAATAGTAAGAAATTTTAATTTCGGAAGATTGTTGATAAGTAAAAGTGATACTTCAATGACTTGCAAATGAGGAAGTCGCTCGACAATTAAATAGGCAATGTTTACCAAATTTGGTTGTCACGAAATAGGAAAAAGATTGAGTTATCGTAAGCCATTTGACATGAGCATTCTACACAAAGAAATATTATCTAATAGATAGATTAAATTTTCCTCTTTCAAATAACGTTTAGTATCATATTCTGATCTATAATGCAGTTCCAGAGTACCTAGATTAGTCGTTTGCAAAAAGACAGAATAAGTTGAATTGAATGGTTGAGTATAATACTAAGTGATTTTATTTGATGCCAACAACGATCGATGGTGATGAAGAAAGAAATTTATCGTTGATGTGATCATAACAGTCACTGACAACAATCCTATTGCAACGAAGCAACTTATTATTGAAGGTATGACCTTTATATGGTCATCGACTTCTTCTAAATTAAACAAAAAAAAGTCTTTTACAAAAAAAAAACTTTATATTTATACCCATGCACAGTTTTATGCAGATAAGAATAGACACATAAATATTCATCGCTTCTTGATACTGTTACAGCTCTAATAGGTTGTATATGTAGGTGTTCAACAAAAAAAAGACACTCATACCCACACCCAGCTCTTCTACTCACAACTATCGTTGGTGCTGCAGCTGTGGATGACTTATTTGGCTTACTTGTCGTAGACGACGATGTGCCACTAGCATATCGTTTAAAATTTTTCTTGTCCATTTTAATGATAATGAAGATGATAGTGATGGCCTTCTGATTCTTTTTCAATTTGCGTAAATGAATGGAAACATGGATATTTGTTGCACACTTTATGAATCAGCAAAACAAAAACATTTCGTCTCTATCTTAAATGTGAGTGAAAGAAATAGCAACACACAGGCCTAGATGCAGATTCACACCCACATTCACATCCTAAGTGGGCGTTGAGGTGGCTCTCTTCAGTGTCATCTCACCTCCACACGCCATACCCATACTCACACCCTTTTTTGATTATTTTAGAATAAAAAAGCTAAAATGTCAAATAAAGATGATGAATCAATTGAAATGATATATTCAAAATCATGTCTTGATTTAAATATGGATATGGAAACAAAGTTAGATGCATGGCGTTCATATGAACATATTCGTAAACATTATGTTTTAGAAGGTGATCAATTACATTGGTTAGCTATTTCATTATATGTATCATGTAGAAGATATAAACATCTAACAACAAATCAGAATAATCCAATATCAATATCACGTTTATTAAAAAGTGCTAATCATTTAGAATTATTTGTTTTTTTTTGATAAATTACATAAAGAAATCGATCAAGTGTTGAACATGTTTTTAATATATCATCAATTATATTTGAAAAATATAGAAAAATATTTATTGAAATATTTGGTGGAAATCAATATAAAAGAACATCAAATCAAATAAATCCTAAATTAAATACAAAAAATAAATTAAATAAATGTTCACATCAAGATTTATATTCACTTCTATGGACAATATATGCATTAGCTAAAACAATTTATCCATTAACTATCAATGATCTGATTGCTTCATTTCATTTACTTATTTCTAGTTTTTTCTTTTATTTATGATTATGTCAATTTACTTTTTAAAACTCGTTGAAATTCTTTAAAATAAAAATCTATTTCATAATATGGATTTTTATTTAAGTCTTTGAAATAAGATCTGAAACAAATTCAATTTTCGATAGTTCGATATAGAATTAAATTTAATTAAACATTTTATTTCGAGGTTTATCAATATATTATTAAATAAAAATCATTTCAAATATTTTTTTTATCGAATATATATATATATATCGATAACTTAGAAAAAAAAACCTATTTTCTTGTCAATATGATTATTAATCGATGAAAACGTAAATAATCGAATATGATTAACGATTATTTCAAATCATGTTTTAATATTTAATCGTTTAAACGATATTATAGTTATAACTATGAACAATCGATTAATAATCATTTATAAATAACATAATTATAAATAAGATTTACAAATAATGATTATATTCATATATAAATATATATTCTTGATATACGATAGAAATATAAATATCTATTAAACATTCTGAGAATTTTCATCAATTATATTCATATTAGAAATTATATTTCAT